CCCTGGGACAGAAGTTCCTCCTCCAGGCTACGCCCAGGGACAAGAAGTGGAAGGATAGAACATACGGAAAGAGGAATAATGTGTTTCATCATGCAGTGATATAAACTCCCAATCAAACTCTGTTATCACTGTTAATGTACTGGAAACAATTCAAACCTCCTGCTCCAAAACCCAGACCTACTCTCAAGCTCATCAAATAAAGTCTGTCAGTGCAAAACATCACTGTCAAACTCTACTAGATCAACATGAGACCTTACACTTTACCCATAATGTTACGGTCAATATTAAGTCATAACGACCTGACTTCACATTACGCAAATCTTATAGAAGTACATGTACTTAGACATTGCAGCATGCAGACCCCCTTTTTGAATGAGTTCTAGAAATAAAAGCCAACTCACGGTCAAAGTTCAATGTTCTCTTGTCTCATAGATAGGTGACAGGTCCTTCAGGAACACACACAGGAATAGGACAGGTACACAGGATAGCCAACAGATCCTCCAGCTGGAATTTGGACAGGAACACAGACAGGTCCCACAGCACACACAGGAACATGGTCAGGTACAGTCTCAGCTTTCCATAAGCTAGGGTAAAAAGAAATAAACATTCAGAAAAATCTCATGCCAAATTTACATACATGTACACCAATATTTACAATATTCACACATCATGCATGACATCGTAATATTCACAACATTTCATACAAAACCTGCTTTGATTGGGGGAAGAGCACAGCCAAAAGTGAACAAAGAATATTCTAATAACAAGAAAATACCTCTCACACATGATATCACATGTACATAAGATATCACAATACACTTGTTCTAAAAGTTGCATTGGTTGGGAAAAGAACATATGGAACATTGTTAATGTCAGGCAAAAGAAGAGAACAGCCAACAGTGAACAGACATGTAGAATATCATGACCGAACAACAATCACACTTCTTGATATCACATAAGATACATCACAATCCAAATAAGTACATGTACGTGATAGAGAATTCAAAATGTTTTACAGCAAATTACACATTTCTAACACATGTCAAGTACTTCATACAATTTCTAAATACCAGTAAGGTAATAAAAGATATGGAGAAAAACATGTCATGTCAAAAATGTATTAATGTATCAATATCAAATAAACCATCATCATCACAATCATGCAAACATGTGTCATGATTTCATTTTTAACAATCATTGCACACATGCAATTATTTCAACTTATAATAACATTTCAACTTCAAATTTTCAATGATGAAATCAGATGATGAAAGAAGAGTCAACCTGCTGCTCATTGATATACTAGTAGTCATCAAAGGACTTCGAGATGCCCCTTCGTGTCTACAGACCTACTGTGATTCAAATCCAGGACCACAACGCCACTGCCATAATTTTGTTCTTCCCAAGTTGTCAATTTGTGTTCCCAAAAAAAAACAACTACATAACTACAATACCTCTGAAAAGATTTCTCTTGGTTTGGAGCTCCTTGATGTATTTCAATTCATAATCAGAATCTGGAACAACATATTACTAGTATATAGGAGCTTCAATAACAGCAAGAAGGCATACGAATGATCATATTCAAGTATTGTTGGCTCTGTCATCAATTTGTCTAAAGTTGACATGGCACAAAATTATAAAAATTATAATCCCAGTGACGTGTTCCCAAAAAACAGGTAACATGTATTTACATAACTACTGTACCATACCAAGTATTTTTGGTCTGTCATCAGATCTAAGGTCTAAGGTAAGGTCAGTTTGTCTAAGGTGTACACGACAAATATAAAAATTTCATTCTCAGATTTTACCAAAGTCAAGTTGGAGAGTCTGTTTGGGATTTACCGCTCAACAACTGATTAACATTCATTAGAAAAATCATGACCTGTTCTAGACCGAAACACCGCCTCTCTTACAGTCCTTAAGCCTATAGTGGATCCTTGGTGTCTTTTCTACCTGCAAATGTACCTTCCTGAGCACTATGTGATGTACTAGTGTATAATTACCCTGTATACGGTCTTTGATACATATTTAAAACAACTCTGTTACCGCCCCCCTCCCCACTCGAACTTACCGGTCGTCTGTCTCTCCTCCTTCCAAATCTATCACCTTATCCATGTCATCCTCTACACAAACGGTACTATCGTGTCCCCTCTGTATGCTATCGGCCTCGGAACACTTTTGTTTTAGACTTAAATTCATAGAATTTGACCAAAACACACAGGACAACAACAAACCACGTTTCAAGCAAAGCGATACATAAAAGCGCCCCTCAGGGGATTACTTACAAAGTGCACCTCTTAAGATTGGTGTCGTTTTCCTATTTCAGGATCATTAATTTCACCCTCATAGTAAAATTTGATTGACCCGTGTTCAAATAATTGGTGGTTACGGTGCAAAAAAAAATTGAATAACTGAAAGTGCTTTTTTGTCGACCACGCAAATGCGCCTCTGATCCATCGGTTACTTAACTAAGTGCAGCGTTACCTCGTGGGGATAATTGCCGAAACTTACTATCGAAATTCTGTCTTTTTGCTTCATTTAACTTAAAGGAGATTTATCTATAATAGTCCGGAGAGTATCTACGACAATTTAAAGTACAACTTACCACCAAAGCGGGCATGGCGCGTCTTCCTGGGCGTAATTGTTACCCGCTTGTTCTTCCCGTCCATGTACACTCGCCATCTTGGAAAACTAAAGGCGTGTTTCACGCACATGTGTCATGCCACCTGTAAATCATAAGCAAAATTTGCATTCGATAATCAAGTTTAAGATTAGATTTACGACAAGCCAATAGGCAATCATCAGACATTCAGGCCTGAAAAATACAATGATTTAATTATGACTTTCATCTTACAATTTTTGTACCCTCATCATTCAACTTTATGAAATTTAAATTTAGGAAAACACACGTTAGCAATTTTCCAATAAGTGATCTTTCTTTAGCCGAATATGTTGTATAACCGAAACGTCCGCAATTTGTGACTAAAAGGACGCTTCTGGCGAAGCAAGTCTTAGATCTTCAAACGTTATTCAATAAAATGGTTATTTGATAGGTTTTAGCTGAGCAATGATTCAATTATGAGGACCAATCAAAACTGCGGATTTCGTCTTATAAGTTATTAACGAGGCTCAAAAATATGCATATCTTAAGTCCAGGTGCCGCATTACGTCATGCGATGTAGTTACGCAATTCTCCAGATATGCTGGGTTAATATAGACAGGAATGGGGGTAAACATTGGCGTTTAAAGTAAAAATAGCGCAAGCAATTACAGAACTTGTTGTTGCAATATTTTCTGTATGATCCATTCTTCACGTTTAGTTGTTTTCTGGACGGTTAGAACCGATAGTAAGAACAAAATCAAGGAAAATATGTTTAGTAACGAAAACAATTAAACAAACATCAATAAAACGCATAAACGTATAAGCTTTTCCACCAAACCCTTTCTAGAAGTGTAATAATTCATACCTGAGGTGTCCAGAAGAATCTTTCCATCCCTGGCGATCGTGCACTCTTCTTTACAAAGTTTACTCCCTAATGTTTTTAGTTAATTGGATGCTGTGATGCATCCACAGGCGCCACACGTGTCAATGAGGGCCTCTAGCAGTTTGTGGAATTATTGCAGGTACTTGAGGAGATTTTTACATGCAATAATTTGACCGACTGCTAGAAGTCGCTTTTGATACATGGCGCGGAGGGTCATTAACCAATGTATCCTTGATGCTGATTGGTTCTCATCATGTGTACGTGTTTAAGTCGTTGAGCCTGATTGGATAATAAAGAGAAACCATTATGACGTCTGCCTCTTTGACCAAATATGGACAACAGACAACGCTATAAAGCCGCTTTACTTTTCATGTAAACAACTGAAGTTACGATGGATTTTCGGACGAACCGGACTATTTTAGGCAGTTATTTTCCCCCAGATAAGCTACTGAGTCGTAAGAACTGACTCTACAAAGAAAAGGAGCCGATTTATGAGGCTAGGGGAGGTGAAAATGCTCGGCAACCACGTATTTATTCATACGAACGCGAACAGGGGAGGGGGGGGCATTGTGTGGGGATAGCTTTCAGCACCAAGGACAGAGATAGCTTCAGTTTGAACCTTCATGACTACAAACTGAATATTAATACACCGACTGCAATATACGAATGAAATCAATTTGTGAATTTTTCAGTGTCGATCCCAATATCATATGAATGGAAACAGAGCCTCTGCCAGGCGTATAACTATGGCAGTCCCCAAGCTAGTTACGATTTTTGCCTTCCACCATGCATCTGCTTGGTTTACATTCATATGGTAATGAGATCGACACGGAAAATTCACATCTGCCAGACTGTGACCATTTCTGCAAGCGATCAGCTGATCGCAAAATCATATTTTTACGTGTAAGTTGAGAATGAAGGAAATTTGGGCAAAGGCAATAAGTAGGAATAGAAAGGACACCATACGGAGTACTATTCTCTGAAAACAAGGACGCTGAAAAATGCCAAAAGTTTCATTTTTCTAAAATTGAAAAAGCGTAAATTCATCCCCTATCACACCCTCGTTTTGAAGCACCCAACAGAAAAGGTAATTTTGCCAGATTTGGCCATTTCGCGACTTGGGAAACGCGATGGGCTCTTATGGGGGTTTTACTCCATGGATGTCTTTCCAGTTCTTGTTGTGGCCTCTCCTGACTACTTAAATATCACAGATGTATCAGGCAATAATCGTTTTAGTCAGGCATATGCTCATTTTGAGTCAACGGCTTTTATATGTGACGAAACATATATAATGTTACATATTATGTAACGTTGTCATTTCGAAGCAAAGATAGGCATTTCGAACAAATATTTTAATGAACATATTAAGGATCCTATGATAGCGGCTCCTCTAAGCAGAGTCCTTTGAACCTCCTTGGTATATCTTATATGTGAGTAGGCTAAGTCTGTAGTCTTCTGTCATTTTATCGAGGTACATGTAGAATGAACAACGCATAAAAACAACATATATGCATGTAACAGGAAAAACTAGTTTTATGTACAATGTTTTCAAATAAAATGTACAAGAGAGTATACAGTAAAACCTTCCCATATAACAGATAGCCATTATCTGTACCCTTCCAACTGACTTCAGGATCCTCTGCAATCTCCACACTACCTAGGTATTAACCTCATTTGGGTTACAGCCTAGCCTTCTTTTTCAATCCAACAAAACTACAAGGGACATTGTCCTTCTAGCTTTACAAAAATAACTTTCATTCTCAATTATTTTTTTCAGTATTGTTCGCTGAACTATATATATATAATTTCTGACTTTAGTATGTACAATTGCATCACATGGAAGCAAGTAACTACTGTATATATATAATAGCAATCTCTTTCAGCACATATCTATAGTTTTTAGTATTTTCAAAAGGGAAATGCAAAATTTATCAACATTGCAACCTACTATAACATACAGTCAACCTGTTCTTAAACAGCCCCACCTCTCTGGCAACAGTAGAACTGCAGCTTCAAGGTCCAACAATCATATAACACATTTCTTTTCCCAACTTTTACGTGCCTCTTTTGTTTTGACAACTCTAAATCTTACAGAACCATATCATGTCAACAATTTGTCAATTTCCAAAATTCTTCTTAGTGCACAAAACCCCATCATTTTCTTTTCCAGTATACTAAATCCAAACACGGCAGTTCAATTTCACTTGACCATTGGCATCTTTTGATACATTAGAAAACATAACATTTCTTTTCCTCTTACTCTAATGCAGCATTAATCACTTTGCAGAGAATGCTGAAGTCAGTGACACTTTGGTTAACATGTTACTCCTGGCATCAAAACCTCATTGCACCAGATCTTCTAAACAAGACAGCAAAAACAGTTCAACATTCGCAAGGCCAACAACTTTTCAACAAAACGAGACATCATAATTGTACAATTCAACCATTGCCAATGGACAAAAGAGAATCCATCTCAAAAGTTACTGAACTGTCATTCTGTCCTGGTTATAAGATCATGTGATCATTTTTGGTACTGACAACCTTACTTTTTATTAGGAACAATCAAAACTAGTATAGATGTACCAGAATTTCTCAAAAGACCTGAGAACTGTTTTTCATTAAAGTCAAGCATTCTAGTTTTAATCTTATAGTTTTCGTGAAATATTCTTCATGATGTGTTAATATGGAATAATGGAACATCCAACTTTTTCATTCAGGCCTGATGAGAAATAATGGTACATCCCGGCTTAACCAAAATCTCGTTGTGCACATTTTTGCATACACGCTCATATAAGGCTCCCCTGTACAAGGTTCTGCTTTGACAGTCTGTGGGAGGGACAATTTCAAAAAGTTGTATCATTTCTCCAGTTTTGATAACAATGTCAGACTCACATATTGTTCAACATTTTACCACAACTACAATGTAGTCTTGCATTTAGACTTCAACATTTGTGAAAATGTGTGGGGAGACATTGGTAATACATATCAAAATGATGACAGAGTTCAATCAACGACTCATAGCTACACCTAGGCTACCAGCAGATGCAATATTTGTATGTAGAATAGTTCAGAGAAATGTTTTTATAATCTTCCACATTTTTGCTATACATTGCCTGAAATCATCCTGAACCATGTACAGGTGACATAGTGACACAGTCATATCATAGAAATTTAGACCAGATAATGAAGCATACAAAACATGACCCACAGACCTTCAAAGCAAACTGAAAGACATCCTGGTTAAACAACTCATAAATCTTCTCTTCTTTACATCTCCATAATCCATATGCCTCTTTTTGCACATTTGCATATGTGCCGTGTTTACACTATTTTGTTTATGTACACAGTAATAGTCATATAATAAAGACAGCTGTACACTTTGCAGAGCTCTATTTGGTTCATAACCACTGTGTCATCTATGGACACATCCATACGTATACTTCATCCTACTAAAACAATACAAACTTTGAAGACAATGACAACAACATCTACTAAACTTGTCTTTGCACCATAGTTTGACACAATGCAATGGTTTGCTTGAGTATCTTCCGGGGAGTTTAAATGAAAGCTTGTTGGTACTAAACACTATACTAAATATTGTGTGAGTGGCAAAGAAAGGAAGTTTTGGGGGACTACAAAATCACCATGCTGAGATATAGAAAACAAAACATTGTTCACATGCATATTTCACAGTAGATTGTGAGATCACAGAATACAGAAATGTGAAAATTTCCATCAAAATTAGAATATGAAATGTCAGTGCATTAGGCTTATATGAAATGTTAGCAAGAAAATAAACAAATCTGTGTGAGTATCAATTTTAAGGGCATCTAAACCATGGATTGGCATTTTACAGATATTCTAGTAGCACCATGCATGCATGGAATACAAACACTACTCTAGACAAAACCACATTGTGTGAACTATGTAGCACTCCTCAACTTGTTTGTACAAAGTCTGCCTATCTAAATCTTTGCTGCCATCTGAAAACATACATTTTAACACAACCGTGGACAGGTTGTGATGCGTTAGTCAGTACAGACCTCCTGAACAAAAAACACAAAGATAATCTAAGTGCTTCAACTTCACTATGATTGGTGGCTAAGTTTGTTACATGAAGGGTTTGTCTTTAAGACTATAAAACTTTATTTTGATTGGTTCACACAACCATACATGTACTTGTGCTGTAGGAACAATGTAGTTATAAACTATGTGACTTAGTCCTCAAGTCTAGATTGCTCCCAAACTACAGTTAAACCTTCCCGAAGCATTTAAAGACGACAGAACAACTTCTTTTCTACGAGGTCTTCATTGACCAACACATGATATGTTCATGTACTCCACATAAGACCAGCCTCTGCTCCAAGTTAGATTGTCATTGTGCTAGCTCCTAGCAGTTCTCGACAGACTACGCTATATCTTCAGCGAATCTACCGTAGTATTAATGTTTAATGAATATTTGTGCCTCACAGTGTCACAGTCAAGAGTAGGTAGTAAACTTTATTATAATCACTGTAAGTTGTGTATCTCATGTTCTTCTGTTTCCGGTCGTAGGTGGTTTAAACTGGTTCCGTCTGGTGTTGATTATTCGCCGGGAGGGGTGGAGGGTTGCGTGTTTGGCGAGTTTGTTCGCTCCGACACGGGCTGCGAGGTAATCGTTGCGTCCGGGCGCAAGGGCATCAACCCTGTAAGTAAGGTACATACTGAGTCAAAACCTGCTACAAGTATACCGTGTATGACATTTCAATGATTTATTTTGATAGCCTAGGAAAATCTTTAAATATAGGAATACACTGTAGGAAAGGTCTAAGAAACACATACATAGACAAAAAAGGGTCCCGTTCCACTCTGTGCAGAGCATAGGGGTGGTGCCCATCTCCATTCCTGTAGCCCTTGGGCTACAAAGTTGTGCAAGCACTTCAGCAGGGGGCTAGCCCGGTAGTAGTGTTGTGTGTTTGACCTTCCCACACTCTCTCTATGAATGCTAAGCAGAGAAAGCAGTATGTACCATTTTTAAAGTCTTTGGTATGACCCGGACGGGGTTTGAACTCACAACTTCCCGGTTACAAATAGAGCACCCGATTGAGCTATTGCAGGAGTACAATGGAAGAAAAATCTGAGAAATATTTTAAACAAACTTAAGATGGAAGTTTCAGGTGGCCTTACCTGCAGGTTTGAGGACCAGGAACTTGAGTATATCCGAGAGTGAGACCACTCCCACCACACAGTCATCTGTGTCCACCACTACCAGTCTGTGTACCTACAGGGGGCAATACAAACATTACAGTTATGTCTAACACAAAATAACGTTAAACTAGAAAGGCCAATATTTGCTCTGGAGCGAATACAGCGATGGGTTCACCACATTTTACCACATGGCAGGGAAAGAATGAGAAACACAAGGGAAAACAATGATTACATTGATATAACTATAATATGAAGTAACATACAACTAAAACAACAGTTGGATAGCTATTCCCTACTTTATTGGTTAGGATTTTTAATTGCATAATGCAAACTGTTGATTTTCAAAATAAAATAAAAACGTTCATGCCCCGCATTCCAATGCTGGAGCAGAAAAGCTTGAAATACCTACCAAAACACTTGAATAAAGACATACTGTCAGTATGGAAATGCTCTGTGCAGGTGTTAATCAAGTTAAATCCCAACAGCCAATCAGCAAGAAATGCTCTGTGCAGGTGGAAATGCTCTGTGCGGGTGTTAATCAAGTTAAATCCCAACAGCCAATCAGCAAGAAGTATAGAGGAAAGCTGCATGCCTATTGGTTGATGCCCTGCATTCCATTGTGATGACTCATGCCCAGACGTGGTAAACAAGGCACACTAACACAGTAATACATTTGCTATAACACAGCCAAAAAACTCAAATAAAACCATTCTAAAAGCCTGTATCATAAAAATTTAAAAAACGCCTAGGGGTATTTGCCCACTGTACCTCCATACCAAATTTCAGGACCTTAGGCCCTAAAATGAAGAAGCTGAATCCATTTAAAGATATGGCAGGAGGAGAAGGAGGAGAAGGAGGAGGAGAAGAAACATCAGAAAAAGCAATATGGGTTCACCACCACTTCGTGGTGTGGTGAACCCATAAAAAGTCATGGATCTGATGGGTTGAAACCATGTATCTCAAATGATAAGACTGGTACAGGAAAAACTTATTGTTGGACATGGTAGCCATGGCAGAAAGCAAAGAGATCCTATATGTATATGTGCTTTATCTTTGATTAACTTTTGATGACATACTGTCATTTTTTTCAAAGATGCATTGCTGTCAATTTACGAGCAATTAAATTTCGAGCTGTTAAAACTTGTTCATACTGTCAGTCCATATTTTTCCTTCAAATAACACGTGTACAGAACTGGGTAGTTTGAATCTATGTGCCCTAACTGTGATGACTAACTGTGATGACTAAACAGTATAGCCTTGCCAGCACTCTGGAAGAAGATGAAATCCCATGTCAGAAAAGATATCTTCTTCAAAGGGCGGAATTCTGATGAAAGGTACAGTGCATTCTGACGTGTTAGCTTTGCCCACCTCTGCCTTGACCACCCTGTCACAGATGGTGTCCAGAGTCTCCGTCTTCAGACAGCGGTGCACGCCCTCGAACCCCTGGCTCCGGTGCTGCAGCGCCTGCCGGATCGTGATGTCCAGGTTGTTGTACGTCTTCTCAGCTGCCAGATTCTACAACCAATAAACAGCCTTGTACCTGTATCTGTATAACCGCCCTTCTGTGCAACACACCAGCCTCACAGGCACACGGCGCGGCGGCAGCTGTCTACACTACACCAAACAACTTGTTACACCTAAACTTTGAACATCTAACTCTAAACATTGTTTAACGATATCTAATGATAATGGCCCTACTGTACTTGGTGACAGCGAGTTCCACTCTGCGATAGTTCTAGGAAGGAATGAGTTATTGAATCCTTGGTTGATAACTCCGGTACTTGAAGGCATCACTATTTCATGTTCTTTTCTGAGCTGGTATTAGGTACTTAGTCCTTGCAGCATACGTTGATGAAGGTTTGACATCCAGGTAAACAATATTCAAAGACAAGTCAAACTCTACTACTCGATAAATAAGGGAGATAACTTTTGGATGTTTCGAGTGACATCTGTCACTCTTCTTCAGAACTTTTCATTCATATAGTGATGCTGAAGAAGAGTGACGGATGTCAATCAAACTGTCTGGAAGTTATCTCCGTTATTTATCACGTAGTAGAGTTTGATTTGTCTTTGAACCATAAACATATGCTGCAGGCAACAACCTCATATGACACCTAACCATTTTCATGAAATAGAAATCATTTATCCTAGCCTTTCTTGCTATAGACTGAATCATCCATCATGCATGTGTCTATTTTCGTAACTCTGCAGACTATTGTTAAAACACAATCATTGCAATTTCTAAAAAAGACTAATACTTGCAGTATATGTCTATGAAGAAACACTTTTTTTAACAGTTAACATCTACTTAAAAAAAGATGATACTTACAATTGCATCAAACTTGGCATAGATGTCCACAACTTTCCCTGCAGGATAAAACGCAAGTATTGTACTGTTGCTCTGATCTGTTTCCCTTCTCATAAGGTAGACAATATACATACAGGAAATGTAATATAGGAAAGAGCATGAGGAGCAGTTTAATATAATATCTTGCTAAGTGTTAGTCACCAGCAGAAAAAGAATAGCACATTAAGCTATGCAGATGTGAGGAATGAAAGATATTCTATGATGTTCCAAGAATTGAGTTTGTCACATAGTTGAAGAGGCTTTTTGTCCTTTTTTGGCCAAACAAAAGTGTCCACTTCAACAGTGACAAGGCTACGTCTTGGGGTCATTCTACAGAAAGAAAAGGATGAGTGGAAAGAGAGAAATAAAAAGGGGTGAGAAAGAAAACGCACCATTGTCATCAACCACGGGTAGAGCAGACACCCTCCGCTGTACAAAGATATGCAGGGCCTGGATTAGGGGGATGTCAGCAGGGGCCTGTCAGGAGCAAAAGGGTGGAAAAATCAGGAGATAATCTACCAAACCACGTGGGGAGGGGGGCATGTCTTACCGTCACTATCTACAACCGGGAGGGCAGACACTCGCCTTTCCACAAAGATGTGAAGAGCATGGATTAGGTGGGTTTCCGGCGATGCCTACAGAAGTGACAAAATTACAGCAAGAAATTTCACCCACAATTCAATCAAACACGAGTGTTTTCCCTGGAATTTTTGGCTGGAATGGTGGCCATTGATGAAAGGAGTCTTCATTTTGATAATGAATATGACAGTGCCAATAGGAATATCATTTTTGAGGCATGGCTATATGTACCTTAGTACATGTATAGGCACCATACCAACTTGAAGGTTGGTAAGGAAAACACTGATCATCAGTGATGACAATACATATGGATTGTGTTCAGTTACCGATAGTAAATTTTGTATTGTACATGACCAACATTATTAGGGCTAGCATGCATGACAACATTGGATATTACTTTCTTAAAATCTGTATGATTTTCACATATTCCTAAAACTCATACCAGTAGTTTGCATGCACACATACACTAGCACATACATATGCACAAAACAACCAGAAAAAATATAAACAACCAGACACTAATAACACATCCACAGTAAAGCACTCACAGTTGCTATGTTGGAATAGGTCCCGATGCCCAGCTCCTCTAGAGTATTGTTCATGTAGTCTGGTTTGGGGATGTCTTTTAGCTGTAAGGTGGCCACAACAAATACTACATGTAGTATATTATTAAAATATCATATGAAAACCTTCTTATACAGGCTTTTGACTAAGTAATGGACTATCTAAAAAATGTAAGTACATATATTTATTGGAATGCACTTACTGTAACAGACATGTATTTGTTTGAGAGCCATTTCGCAAAACAAATGCCCTGATTAAGTGCTGGTATGTGACTCTAGCAGATAAACCGAGGTTGTAGTATGTAGAAGTGTACTTACATACAACCAGAGGAACTTGAGTATCCTCTTGTGAGTGAGGACGTAGATTGCATTGCCCGTGGTCTCGTCTATGACAGGAAGACGATGGATCTTGCACCCGATCAGTCTCTTAATGCCTTCAAACAACCTGCACATTTAAATAAAGGAAAATAACCTTGTTTTCTACATCTTGGTGCAGTTGTAAAAAAAAATTTAAAAACATTAATTTGTTTTTATTGACAATTTGTACATGGAGAAGGTCTTGTGTTATTAAAAGAAAAAAAAGGAAGAAACTAGAAAGGTGACATTTGCAAGGCTTAATGCATAAAATTTAAGTTTGCATATGCTCTGCTCTGTTCATTCTTACTCAAACACATTCATATACATGTATGGTCAGAAAGACGTCTACCATTAAATCCCTCCTGCTGTAAAATTGCAACATGATGTAACAAAACACCAGTTACCCTGGCAATAGATGTCTGGTTCTTGTCATTGACCTTATTTGGTTTGGAGAAGAAGAAGAGGAAACAGAGCAAAAACAATATATTTTCCTTCGGTAAACATAATAAAAAGGTACTAGTACTAGTACATACGTTTCATCTGGGTCTATGCTGACAAGTGGCCGGTTGGTCAGTCCTAGCACCTCTGTAGAAAAAGAAAGGGCAAAAGATGTTAAATCTAGCCAGGAATGTTTTAAGTACAGTAGCTATTTTAGCCTTGCCTCCATCTTAAGCCGAAAACACTTCCTTTTCAAGCAGGTGTTTGCTTGCTGTGCTACATCTGCAGTTTGAGCCAATCTTGATAGGAGGCATCACAAGACAGTCAAGGCACAACATGCACAGAATACATTATTTAGTGCACTGGAATTCAGCTGCAGTTTATCGAGCCAATGTGTAAAGTCAAACCAAGGTCATCAGTTGAGAGAAAGCAGAAGGAATCAATTTGGTATCCTTGTTGTGTATTGATTGGATTTCAAGCTGTGTACTGACTACATTTTTTCTTCATAGCTACAGCAAAAGTCCTTGGGAGTTGTGTTTTGTTACCATGGCAACCTTCCTTGCCCTGCCCTCACATCTCCATGTGTTCTGTTACCATGACAACTGGACCTGCCCTGCCCTCACTTCTCCATGTGTTCTGTTACCATGACAACTGGACCTGCCCCACCCTCACGTCTCCATGTGTTCTGTTACCATGACAACTGGACCTGCCCCACCCTTACTTCTTCATGTGTTCTGTTACCATGACAACTGGACCAGCCCCGCCCTTACTTCTCCATGTGTTCTGTTACCATGACAACAGGACCTGCCCCGCCCTTACCTCTCCATGTGGCGATCTTGTGTTCCTCCAGTTCATCCATCTGGACCAGTGGAGACTTGTAGTACTTTTGTAACACATTGATGAAGTCCGTGATTGTCAACATTCCTGAATAAAAAAAAAAAGAGGTTCATCAAAATTAATGACAAGAAATTTAGAAACTCTCTTTGTATTAATCTTCAGTGAGACTGATTTGATTTTGGTCTCCTGTCCTGTTACTGATGTTATATTTCGGCAAAAAATTTAGGCAAAGTAAATCGATCAGGACGACACTTACCTACAAAGTTCTGAGTTCTACTATCCCACAGTGGAGCAGCCCTTATACCTAACAAAGAAAGAAAAAAAGAAAACTGTCAAGATCAAGATTACCACACCACATACTTTTGTTACAATTGTCCTACATGTATGCCATACTAGGGGATTAAAGCTTCGATTTTGCACACTACGCAAACCACAATTACATTGTAGAATACAGAGGATGAGGGATACATAATCATAAGTAAGGTTCTTGGGGGAATAGTCGAGATCTGTACAATTATCCTTGAAATACTGTATCTTATAAAGGTTAGGGACATTTGAAAGTCATTTCAAGGACCAATTGTGGTTTGTGTGCAGTATTTAAGCAATGCTTCTTGCACTGAAGCTTAACAAGTCAATTAGCTGTAACGATCCATGACTGTAGATAAACGTATCCTCTAGCAAGTTAACATCAGTATCCCTTATCTATGGCCTTAAGATATGTGCATAAACGTATGTGGATGTGTACATGTACATGTATATGCAGTTAGTCAACACATATGAAACATTTAGCACAGTAAAAACTGTGTAAGGCCATTGTAGGTTCTATGACACAGAAAAAAGGACATCATTTTGTATTCCTCTCACAGTCATGCACTGATCTTGGAAAGGTTATTAGTTTGTCTTCGACTCTTCCTTGGGCCTGCATCCAATCTTCCCTTGAAGTGCACTTAGGGGCTGGCACACAACCAAGCCATTAACTTGGGGGAGGAGCAAAAATTAGATGTGGAAGGAGAGATGATCACAATTTCCTTCAGATCAATACGCATAGTTTGCACAATTCCTTTTTCCATATGTCACTGTCCTTTTTTTTCTGTCAACAAGCAATTTTTATAGAAAAATAATCATGATGAAGATATTTTTCTAACCTTTCATCTTCCTGTAGCCATCTTCTACAAGTATTTCATTATAAGTTTTGACAGTGCATGTGCTGCTAATGTGATCAAAGCATCAGAGTTCTAGTCAGATTGATTTTTTCCCCGTCATCTCAATTTTGTTTCCCGTAACAGCACATCAAAGGTGCTCCAGAGGCACGGCAATCTTTTGAAATCTTGACGCTCTGAAATGCTATTTTCTGCATTCTGAGCGGGGACAAATTTTGCTGTTAGACTAAGCTTTAATAGTTTGATGACAGATTCTCTTTCCATCATATCTTTACACACTATTTTTCGTCCATCAAAGATGAAAGAGTGGGCAAAATTTTTGCCTGTCGTGATCATCAAAATTCTGTCAAATAACAGAAAGACGGACACTGGCTAGAACACTGCAAAGCATTTTACTATATTGCATGGCCCACACATGTAGGTTGTATATTGTATAAACAAGCTGCTTGAGGTACATGTACAATCCTCCAGTACAGGCTGTACATTAACGACATTGACGTCAGAGACTCTAGGGCAAAGCCAAGACAACGAGTCAAGTTCCCAGGGGCTATGGAATTAAAACATTTACGGCACTACTGAGGCTTTACGCTATATGTTTTGAAGGCAGAAAGCCTACATCAGAGCGAAGGGCTAATGTTAATCTTCCGGGGCTATGGCATGAAACAGGCTGTGCCCACAGCTAAAGCTGTAAGTATGACATCAGAGGGTCGAAGGCTAGTCTCTACCAGACTCCTTTGCAGGCTGAATATACAGTATAGTAGATATCGGCCTATAAGGGGATACAATTGTCCAGGGGAGTTAGCCGGCCATAGAACCAGTTTGCTGTACGCTGGCTAACTAACCTGGCCAATTATATCCCCGTTTAGACCGATTTTCTACTATTCAGCCTGTAAAGGAGTCTGGTGGAGACCAGTCCAAGGCAGTGCCTAATGAAGGTTGACATTAGAAAACATAAAATTTCAACATACAACAGCTTTGAGTTGTATTCCTCTAAATTCTCTTCATACATGTAAGACCCATTTCAGGTTGGATAATTAAAATCAAGTTTTGTAATTACATTTTTGTACATGTAACAAAAGGCTTTACCCACTTCAAATCACAGACCCAAGAAATATTACCATGCTGACTACAGCAGCAGTTATGCATATATCATAGCATAATTGGTATCACTTCTACCCAGCTACTACATGTATCATTAATCAAAATGAGTAATACCCATGCATGAGGGAACTTACCATTGTACACTAGCGCAAAGAAGGCTTTCTTCACCTATAAAATAAATAAGTACTATGTTATTTTAGTGTGATGGGCAAAACATAGCTGAATCTATGACAAGTTATATAATAATTTTATGTTAATTTCATATCAATTTTGTATTACATAAGTTTCAGGGCATTATTTCTGTTTTCTGTAATACATGTATGTGATTCATAATATTTAGAATCATACTAATATATTATTCTAGCCTGCAACGTCGTAAGTCGTTAATGTGCATTCTGAAAATTCACACAAATATTTCTAGAAACTTAAGGTGGGTATTTTAAACAGGAATATCATAAATAATGACTTACTCTGATGATGACTCTACCATGTCTATGATGATGGAAAATTGTACTTCAAGCACACATGGTTTTAAGATAAGCTTTTCCATTGGACATGCACTATTTGTCACATACAGTGTTTACGTACCAGTAGCTGTGTGTCAAACACAACTAGTTTGGAGCTCGTTGGGATGATGTCATATATATGGTGTGACTTCATGAAATTAGTATACACAGCATCATCTGAAACATAAAAACAGCCATCTTTAAGAGCTATATACATACATTTATGTCCTACCTGGGCCGCGATTACGTTCGATACGGGTGTTCCGGCCTGTGTGATAACTAGCGGTACGGCCCAAATGTTCCATAGAACGATTTGAACGTGTTTTGGCCTTACCGCGTGCACTGATTTCGAAATTCAAATACAAAATTCGGACGTTTGAATTGATGTTGCATTTTCTGGGTTTAGGGACACCAAATTTTTGCTCATCTTGCATTGAAAGGCGCGTTTTCTTGGGTGGGTATGACATAAATAAAATACAACACGGTGTATTCCGCATCGCCCTCGGTCCCGGCCCTCCCGCGCGTCATCCGACGCGCAGTCGGGCTGGTACCTCGGGCGATACAGAATACCCCGTGTTGTATTCTATATATACATGCATATCTATAACGATAACAATATAGTATGCAGTGGATTCATTCCTCAAGCTATTACCGACATCTCACACACGGCAGTCGTCCCTCAGTAAGACATCTGGAGCTGCACAGTTCCCGTTTAGAACTTTTATTCATCATTCCACGACTGGTTTTGCCCTGTGGTCTTGTTCTAGATGTCAGTTAGCTTGAGAAATAATTCCACTCTACTATATATTCTATATGATAAGAATATATTATGTTTGAACTTAACATGACAGAACTAAACCTGTACAGAGAGTTTTTATTGCAAAATGGCTCCATCTACTGTATATGAAAATGTTACAAAAGACGATCTTTTTAGTGCATTCCTACTTAAAAGAGTCACTTGGTAGATTACTACATCTAACTGTGTTTTCAAATCTGACGTAATCTTCCGCAACAAAGTTTTCTGCAATATCTGGGCCTGTCTGTACTCATAGTAATATTCTTAATTGTTGTTATTATGTGTGTTTCTATTTGTATGTTTTTTTTAATTATATGGGCCATGGATTACTGAAATAAAGAATAAATAAATAAAGTAAGATATTCACTAATAACAACAGCTATCCACTGTATGTATTCAGTGTTCAGTGTGTGGAAAATATACCCAGTAAATCATGTACTGAGCTGAGCAGAGGTACAATGTATACAATGTTCTCACCTCCTTCTATGGGTGGTGGTGCTTGCTGCATCTTCATAGCTAGTGGATCTGAACTCTGGATCTGAAACAACACAGAGACAAATGTTTATTGAAACAAAACATAAAGCAACAGGATATGACGTTGGCCTTTTGCCATTTTGTTCGTATAGATTGGAAGAACCTCTAGATCTTTACCTATACAACATGTAGTCTTTACATGAATTTTTATCTTGTAGGAGGAAATGTTACAATGTAACCCTTCTCAGTATCATCTCAACTACGGTTCCCATGAAAATAGGGAAAAAAGCAAACAGACATGAAATGTATTGGTAAACTGTCAGTTGTTTAACGCTGTACAGTCAATATTGATTTAACCAAGCAGTGCCTGAAAATATCATGACGCCATATTTGATGAGTGTTTCACTGGATTTCCTACCTGAGAAGACCACCAGGGCCAGTAATTCTACTGTCAGACGAAAATGCAAGGACATGCAATCCGAGTCAACTCTAAACGACCCCCAATAAAATTAGACATATTTACGACCAGGATATATGGACGTTCTTTCATATACATAATGAATTATCTTTTAGATACAATATCACCTGACCTTATATTCGAGTTCAGCTACACTATCGGCCCCAACCTAATATCAGAAACAGGTTTTCATCCTAATAATATATATCAGAATATGTTGAATACTTCAAACATATGGATACTGAATATACTGGATATGACAAAATATTTCAAGGCAATACCTGACCAAACGGGAAAACAGTTGACCGTGACCAATATTGGAAGCAGTGAGCCTGTATCAAAGGCTCACACCTCTCACCTTACTTGATTACCAATTACCAATTATGTATAGGCAATCTTGTTTCTGCTAGGCCCAAGGGAAAATCTTTCAGTTGAACATTCATCCATGAAATATTTATTAGCTATCGGGATAGCATGTCTGGCATTAGAAATACATTAATATTTCTACTAACCAAACAGCATCCTACTAGGGTGTTTTAGCAGCACAAAAACATTATTGTGCGGGACCCCAATTTAGAATTCATATAAAATACCAAATGACCAACGGTTCTGTCCATTTTGTCCAAACATGATTGAAAATGAGCACCATTTTATAATGGATTGTACACTATACAATGATAAGCGCCTATTGCTGTTCACCTTTCTTTCCGCTTGTTCAATTGATTTCAATACGTTAGATGCTATAGATAAATTCAACTACATTCTCAGGGGAGATAACCAATACAGTGTCCAAATAGGAAAATACATTAAAGAATGTTTCGATCTTAGAGACCACATGTTAGAGAATAGTTAACCTTTATTGTTACATCATACATATACTCTGTACGTAAGATGACGTTATCCACACATGTATGTAGCTTTGTTAGATCTTTAGTTAAGTTGTAGAAGACCATACAAAAGTCTCTGTACTTTTTTGTTGTGTCAATAAAGAATCCTATAAATTATGTTTACAGTGCTAGTGACTGTTCATACTACCACTGCCATGGCTTCAATATTACACCCTCCTCCTTTGAGACTGCAACAAAGGCCAACACCTGTTTGACAATATCATGCCCCTCCACCTATATTTTCATCCCTACAATATTGATATACTGCGTAATCAGGTCTGCCTATGCCTATTTTATTCCTGTTTCTCAAATGTGTCCTTTTCCCCTAGCCTGGACCATTAAGGACATTATACAGAACCTTGTCTGGACCTACCAATTTTCAGGACCAGACCTAACCAGAAATATAGCAATAAAACTCCAAATACCTCATCAATATTTGAAGACTGTGGGACTTTGACACGTCTGCACATTTGTATTCACACTGGGAAAAACTGAGGCATCACAAAAAGCAAGGGATAAGACTGAGTAATAATGGCTATTGCCACGGCAGGTTGGGTAATAACATGCCTCACTGGCACCACTACTTTGAGGTTCAAGACAAATCATTTGGAAATGGACCACCATCATCTCACAGGAATATACATTATACAGTATCCTTTCCAACGTAGCTGTGCCGCCTACAGAATATAATTTTACAACCTATATTGACAATTTCTAGACAAGATTGTACCTTCACCGTTTCTTGGACCTGGACCGACTTCTTCCAAGGAAGAGAGTGCCGGCGCATTGGCGACTCGACTTTCCTTGAAGGGTCCTTCTTCTGTCGTTTGACTCTCACTCGCTCCATCTTAATAACTCTGAGCTCCAGACTCAGACTAATATTCAAGATGCATATGAAATATCATGTATGCTGTATGCCAGACAGCTCACGTACGCGTATGCACATAATGCATGACACGGAGGAGACTAGACTATTTGAAGTTCTCAATACAGGGGCACAACTAATCACATGTCGTGGAAGTAGACTCTGCATGTTGATCTGTCCATCATTATAAGCAAACATCCCGGGTGCCTACGTGACACGCAGATCCACACTGTGGCTTCAATCAAACAGCATAATAATATGAGAAGAGGTGTTGTCAGGGATACAACTCGCTCCTGAGAAAATTCACACTGGTAGAAATGTCTGGATCCCTAACATGTTATTAGCTGACAAAAGTGTTTGCTATGATGCTGCCCAATAACTAATCTAAAGGCACATGTACACCAAGATGAAAACAGCATACTAATTTAGAAGGCCCTAAGCCAGTTCTGTCTGGAAACAACTGCAGTTCTTTGAGCCAGTTCTGACTGGAAATAACCTGTGTTACACAATCTTTTGCTGCTGGGGGCTAAAATTGGTTTGCAACCGGAGAGGGCCCAATCTTTCTTGGGGGTAGGTTAGTAATCTTCAAGCAGTAAGCAGATCCTATGGAGGCAATGCAGTATCCATTGGCCTGAGGAGTGACCATTAGCATTACAGGTCAGTTTGGTGGACCGTGGGGGCTATCAGGCTAACGTGGAAACAACTACAGGCAGATTAGTCGCCCAATCTCATACCTATGACAATACTCATCAAATATCTATGACACACTGCAAGATTTTTACATTTGATTTTAGTATTGCCAGGAGCAATAACAGTAACCTTACATGGTGTGCATATATATCAAATGTTTCCCCAGTAGCAATACATTTCTTTATTACAAGCATGGAGTTAAAATCATGTTATAAGCAGCTTTTTCCATCTATCCATTGAGGGGGCGTGGCATTGTAACAAGTGGTGGGTGGTACCATGTGGGTATGGGGGTGTCCATCATTTCGTCACCAATGCGTTATAAAACAAGGTGTTAAGTGTTTTATCCCCATGCTGAACAAACATGGTGCATGACACATCAAAGACAAACTTTATGATGATTGGCATTTCCCCATATCTCCTGATCAGGGCTTTTCAGATGAACCTAGCAGGACCTTATACTACATAATGAACTTGACCTATATTTGTGTGTATAAACTTGTCAACAGGTCTGCTACTCATACATGTACTAAATCAAAGGATTTATCAGGAAAAATGATATAGGCAAGTGTTATATCCACACATATCATAATCAATAAACTTTGTAAGAGTCATGTTACTAGGGAATTCAGAAGTGCCATAAACTATCTTAGCGATACCTTATCTGGACATTTCTGATAAGGACCATAAAATTCCCATGTTTCACCTGTTCTCAATAGTAAGGTAAGAATGTGAAGGCCATTATGTCGAACAGTCACAGTGTTCATAGAAAACAGTTACTGGCATCTGGGTTAACACTACATTAAACTCGGAGTTTTTCATCAACAAAGAAGAGATACCTACTCCACTGTCTAGATCTTGACTCAAGAAGACATCCTCTTCTAAGATTTCTGGAAGAGGCATCGTAAGAGGCTCTATCCTTGGAACCTTCCTTCTCTCGTATAACTTCACATCTTGCATCTCCTCAGATGAAAACCAGTCATCACCGATTCCTTCTTCTCGACAAGAAGAACACTCGGAATCCTCTCCTTCTTCCCGGCATGAAGAACACTTAGAATGTTCGGAATCCTGATCCAAGTCTTCTAGAGACAACCGTCTAAGCTGTGCTTCTACACTAAGAGGCTGTATAGTTGGCAGATGTTGGTCGTCATGACGGTTATTCGGTTCTTCTAAAGTGACGTCTTCTAGCGGCAAGACTTGGGGAATAGAGAGAACTTCCCGTTGAGGCTTCTGGAAGAAAGACCAATTTGTGTAGCCGAGTTCCTCTTGTACACCATTCTGCATGGCGATGTGGTCAGACACAGTTTGTACCTTTGGACGTTGCTTTCCCCAGCGAAGCTTTCTGTTGTTCTGTTCCGCTTTTGATCTTGACAGAGGAAACAGCTGAAGTTCGATCTCTTCTACCGTCCGGCATTGTTTCTTGTAGAGGTACCTGGTGAGGTGCATGGAGGCCAGAGAATGCAGCATGATCTCCCAGTCTTCATTCAAGGTTGGAAATCCTGTAAATTTCACGTGCGCAGGAGAGCCAGAAGAAGGTAAGATTTGGTTCAAACAAGCTTGTGCTGGGACGTCGCACTTCCACTTCCAGCACATGTCTTACCAGTCCTCAGTAACAACACCTTGCCTGTACATGTCTTTAGGGTAGTTTGAAAAAGTTATCAGAGCCAAGTCTGGTGGTATCTTGACTTACAACCTCGGCCCAGCCAATGCCAACATTTTATCCCAAGAGTGTGGTGAGAAAACTGTTTTCTTTGATCAAAACACTGACAAGGGGGGTCATATACCACAGGTTAACCTAGCAACGTAGGTGATGTGTTACCACGTGCGCGCGGCATTGTACGACCTGGCACCACAACTTGTGAGCAAACATCAAAGGGCTCTGACTCACAGACCCTTTTTTGTTCTATGACTTCATTTGCATGTCCTGTATATACTTTAAATTTCAGGAGCAGTAAAAATTCTACCTAATATGATCAGACATATGGTGTATGTTTCTCTATCTGGTCATTTAGCAGCAAGGATTATTTCCTATTTATGGCCAAGATAAGAAGTCATAAAAACTTTGTACATTATCCATATAAGGATTATCTAAAAACCATAAATCTTTGAGGGATTAATATTTTACAAAGGTCAGCTGGACTACAATACTGTTAAGCACACCCTTAATTCAGCATTATGGTGATAAAGTGGAAAAACAACAGCATGGGCATACATGTACATTGAACCTTTATCATGGACAATAGTAGACATGACCTATCAAACAGATCTAACGTTAGACATGACAGCTATTAGAGAAATTAAACCTACACCAGGGCAATATAAGACTTACTAGTACATGCTTTTGATGCTGAAGTTCGTTAAAACATAGCATGTACCATGGGGTCTAAATGTTTTCTTATCTATCAATGATAAATGACTTTTCACATTACTCTTCTACTGACAAGGACATTTAAATGAGCATTCTGTAGACACTTTATCAAGATAACCGCAGCAGATGGTATCAAAGATGGATTAAACAACTAAATGTTCCCCATGCCACACATTTCAGGATTGGGTTTGCATTACTCTCCAGTGCTGACATTTAACAGTGGTAAACCCTTGATGGTAACTAGAAGTACAGCAAGAGTGGGGAGGGGGGCAGTTAGCAAGGATAGGTTTGATATACCAAATGCCTGCAACACTGGTGACATGATGACAGCCTGAATGTGGACTGATTGTGTTTAGGTTGTTTTGACATAACCAATCACCACATGAGCTGATGACTTCATTACTGTATACATGTATGTGCATGCATCAGCCCTACTAAATACACAAAGTAGCTTATGGTCATCATGTCAGATTATATGTGACAGTCATAATTATCACAGGTAAGAAAGAGTAGTCTTTGTAATATACAAAGTTCATCTAAAATAAACTCGAGTTAAAGAGTTAAATTTGCATTGAACTTAAGTTGATAAAATGGATTTATGAGAAAACAGAGTTTATTTTAATTACGGGTAACAAAATTTTTCATAACTTTTCCCATAAAACAGGGTCAGATAGACATTATTCTTCTCATATCTCATATCTTTAATATCCGGGTCAGTCTGCACTCATAGTCATGTTTTTAACTGTTGTTATTATGTGAATTAAATTTTCTATTTGTATGTTTTCCTTTATACATGTATGGGCCATGGATGCCTGAAAGTATTATAACCTGAAATGACAAAGCCAGGGCAACCCCTTCAACACAAGAAATGCCGCCATGGTGTAACAAAATCTTGGATCCAATGCTGCATGCTAGCTGGATGGCCCTGAACACTTTCATGCTGTAATGAGGTTGTAAAGGTTCCTGTAGGTTGCTAAGAAAGTGCCCTGAGGGTCAGATGTTCAAACACCTGGCTGGGTGAGTATCAGGTGTTACCATAGAGACCAGGGCAGGTAGGGCTGTCCTTGGTACAGGTGATCAATCTTGTTAAGTAGACCTCAGTTACAGGTATACATATAGGGACAGGGAAAATGTTGTGCTTCAAATTTCAGTACTGACCAAAAATTATAGGGTTGGTAGGTAGGGCTTCTCTCCTTCTCCTTTTTAAAATAAAAGATATTGGCTAAAAAAAACTGAAATGCACAGGACCATGGCCTCTAGGACAAGATTTTTTTCCAACTGCAACACATTTTCTGCTAATCTGATATATAGCTGCTTGGTAGTTTTCTCATTGTTTGCTGATCATTGATTAGGTGAGTAGCAATTAAATCTCCTCAAGCAATCAGAACCTAGTAGCTATCAGAAAACTGCATGTAGGCAGAAAAAAAATGTTTAATGGTGTCCGCAATAGAGACTAACTTACTACTAATGTTGAATTGAAAGGAGACCAGGCTACTGTATATCCAGTATACACACTTGAAAGGTTTACATGCTGTAACAGACTATCACATGTATTATGTTTCAAGGATCGGGCTCCTGTTAATGAATGAAAACTCCACCCATCTTGCTATTTTGTCAACAGGTCTGCTCAACAATAATTAGACCAAGACTCCATCAGGCTTTCCTAAGGGGATAGGAAAATACAATTTGGCAAAAATAGGGCAAATGAACTCCAGTAACGGATTGCCAAAATCCCTTGGCAAAATATCCCTCTATCCTTCCTATACGGATAATTTCACTGTTTTTGAACCCAAATTGTTTGTCTGGTGGAGACTAAATTAGACCACTCCCAGCTAATTTTCCTTGATTCTACAAAATTACTGTGTTGCCCTAGCCTGGGATCCAGCCTTTGTTTAGCGTGACCCCTGACCACACTGACTTAGGGAAGCCAGATGACTTGACTTCTGATAGAAGCTTTTAACCAGTGTCTGGATCTCAGGTTAGTGTTGGCCTCCACCTACCTACAGAGAGCATTATTTCTTCCACATATAGAATATATTATACTAATGGACCTAACACATATCACATATCAAATATCACCTTAAGATTGAGCCATCAAAAATAAGCAGTACATCTTCATAAAACAGTAAAAACATCCCAGTAGGATTGATGGTAAGTCCTACCTGGTTAAACCAAATGGCAGGAAACTCTACTCCAATCTGACCAGCTGAGCTCAGTGTTTATGGATAGCATTACAAAGAGAAGGAGCACTAGGATGAAAGACAATCTGCCCAAGGGCACACCTGCGAAGGCCCCATGTGACGTTGACATCAAGGTTATACAGTAAGCCGGCTTTTCATGCAATGCTTTGACCTTGGTACAGGTTATAGGAAGGGCCAATAAAAGTTGAAATGGTGATTTCCAAGCGGAAAATTGGTGTCGAGTCAGTATTAAATCTTCCCTGGTTCACTTTGTGATCCGACCATCAGCTATGATGGAGTGGTCATAAACTGGAACAGTAACACGGATGCCATTGCTGCTTAGGTACACCTACACTCCCCCAACAAGGCAATATAGAGGCTCTGTCAGAAATTATATTCCAAACGCTAGACAGGTGTTAAACTTCAGCACAAAAATATGACAACTCAACAGATTATCTCTTTGAGTGGAATTTTGAGTTGGCATATTTCAAGTCAATCAAAGGGAGGGAGACATTTGGCCGCCTGTTTAACTCAGACAAGTCAACCTTTGCATAACAGTGTGTGGTAATAATAACACAGACAATTAAAATTTCCTGTTCTAATCAGCCTACGACAGTGGTAAGGTGTAACGGTGTACTGTAAGCATATCTCTGTAGCCTACTGTTTGACGAAACACTTCTCCACAATAACTTCACTATGTCTGTATATAGAATTGAATGACAGAGAAATAATGTTTCAAGACTTGACTACTGCTTTGAACACACTGGTGAGGCAGACCTCATTATAGCCTGGTGTCCAGTCTATCGTGCTTTGGGCGGGCTCCAGTGGGCACCCAGCAGGAGTTTTAAGCCCTGTGCGAAACTCACCCTGGGAGCATACCTGAGCTGGGTGGTACGGAACTACTACAGACCCAATGAGACTGAGAGCCTGCCCAAACCTCAACAGACTGGCACCGAGGTAACACCATTATATTCAACCTTCCCTACATGAAAAAATCATGATCAGTAACGTTATTAATGTATTCAAGGTGGTATTGAAACATATATTCAATACCAGGTCACACCCTACAAACAGTCAACACATTAACTTTTCCTAGAAACAATTATAATTATAGTGCATTCTTTCCAATATTATGAACTGGTACAATGTAACCACGGGCTAAGAACCGGTCTGTAAAAACAGTAACAGATCAATTGTTAGAGGCGGCACATGATCGCCAAACACTGCACTTTGAGCCTTACGGCAACAAAATAATTGACAGGCCCAGCCCACAATGAAAGCACAATGGGTGAGGAAATGCTTCTTGATGAACCAGTCGACTGGTGCCTTTTGTATTAGACACAGTCTTTCAATGACGTAAAGGCTACACAATACCACAAGCCTGAAATATGTGTTCAAGGGGGCTTCAAACTCCCTAAACTACAGAACTAGTAGAATTCAGGTGAACTTACTTCCATAGGATACTGGAATGTTGCTGAGGAAGAGAAGTACTGGCCCTCCCCACGAAGTGTGAATGTGATGCCGGTCACGTATGAATAACAAAAACCTGAACTTTGACCTTTGAGGTAAAGCTTTTAGATTGCCTTATATGGGCATGAGGATATTGACCCAAAGTGTAGACACAACGGAAGCTGCAGTACCACTACTGATCAAAAGGTGTCTCTCCTAACTTGTCCAAAAGCCCGAAAGATGGAAACATTCTTGCCTTTGAGCTTCCTTTTTATACGTAACAAGCAATTAACAACAGAGTCTGACAGGTATGATCTGAAATCTTATTTGAAAAAAGTTGAACCACAGCCACGGTGTATTAAGAAGACCTCATTGGAAAACAATGAAAAAACTTTGTAAAGTTTGTCTCAACTTTCTGGGGGTGTTAAAACTAATTGCAGTCATCGAAATGCCTCCTATGAAGGACTACAGTAAGAGAAACATCAGGGGAAAAAGATTTGTGAGACTCCCTAAAATATGAGTACCCTAAACAAGTACTGTACATGTACATTTACATGTATGAGAAGTCTAACTCTAAAGAATAAGAGATGTTACCACCTGCAGTACCACTACAATACAAAAGGTGTCTCTTGAAGACTGTCACAGAGAGCTAACTTAGCTGATTCACCTTCACAATCTGCCATATGCCATTGCAAACTACGAGAGGATGTCAAAGCATTTTACACTAAAACACCGAACAAACTTTCCCATACTGACTGACACATTCCAAATAAGAAAGATCCAGAAATAAATGTCCATCTCTGAACTGCCCAAACAAGCACTCCTTACCTCAAGAAATTCCTCTAATTTTAGCAAGATTGGGACTATATTGCTTTTATAGTCTTAGACATAAAATCTTAACAGTTAGGCAGCTGTAATTTAAAATACAAAGTTGATCCATGACCAAATGAATCTGTAAACTCAATTCCTAACTTTTCATTGCAGCCAAGCCTTTTTTTAGTCAACATGCTGAAAACTTCAACAGTATGGAATCCAGATCGTACTGGCTTTCCTTACCAGGAAGAACGGTCGCTCTGCGCCGTTGTTCTGTCCGCTCATAGTCCGCGACCGTTGCCGAAGCACTGCCTCTTTGTTGAGGTCCTGCTTGACAGCTGATCCTCCTGGACCACCTGATGAACAGAGGTGAGAATAGCAACGGTCACAAGGATTTCATTCAGTGTAAGCATGACACGTCGGCAGAACGTACTGCACATGCGCGAAACCCAGAATGTATAGTGCATAGCACTTCGGCAGAACGTCTCATATAAGGTGGTACTCATGTATATAAGGTTAACACCCTGTCTGTAGTTTTCAATTATTGTGTCAGAAAAGATATTGTAGCTGCAACAGGCAAAATTCTGATACAACTTTGACCAAAAATCCAGAAAACCTGGAAAAATCGTGGCTTTGCACACTGGTGCAGTATGTTCAGCCGACCTGCCTATTAGCATATTTGATATAACACTAAGCTTAGTAGACTGGCACCTGAAAACAACCTTTTGTGTCGGCCAAGCAATTTCTCTACCAAACAACACAGCCAAATCCTTTTGTTTCCGTAATTTCTTGAATAAAAAAAAATTTAACAGTTTGGTGCACGAATAAACTTAAAACAGATGGAAGACTGATAGATATAAATTTCAAAGGCCATTGAATAAAAACTTTTTAAATCCAGTAAATGTAGTTGTAGCAAGTTGAAGCCAGTAAATGTAGTTGTAGCAAGGACATTGTTGCAATGATTTTTACTTGGATGGACAAAGCAAGCAGTCAAAAACTACCAATGGCACTGACTGACGACACAATGTCTTGCCTTGTAGGTGGCAACACCACATATAAACACACAGGATGGAAGAAAAGCTGAAGATATTTAGCAAGAGAAATTCAGAGGTGTAAAATGCTGTGAAAAGAGCACAAGGTGAAAGAGCACAGTTGAAGTTCGTGTACATGTCAGGAATACTGCCAACACAGAGATGGTGCAAGATGAACCAATCACATCATCTACATGTAGTCGCCATGTCAATGTTCAACATGTATGGTCATTAGCAATGGCTATTAAACCCCTCCTAACTAACCTTCCCTGCAACACAACTTGAGGTCATGGATGAAACCACAGCAGCAAAAAAAGGTTAAAAAGCCAAACAAGTTAATGATTTCTAACACACAAAGGAGAAAATGTAGATGAATGAAAACAAGAGAGTTCAGAATCTGAAGAAAGTTACATGTAAACAACATTCAGCTTTCAATGCCCTGCTTTTTGTAGAGTTCATCAAGAAATGCCACACTGACTATATACAATTTGGTGCATTAAAACCTGTAGGAAGAAAGGGCACCGTTTTATGTTACTTGTTTACAGTCATATATTAAAAGTTAAGCATCTACCTGATAAAACTCAGACATACATTATGGCAAATGCATGTAATCACAAAATGTTATTTATCTCAATCTATTTATTTTAAGACTTACACAATGTAATATTGGGTTTGACCAAACCAGTCATCTTGACCAGGACTATACAATGTACCTACTTATGACTACTCCCATGGTGTCTTGCCTCTTCTAGATTTTGCTTCAATATACAGTCTTGGGGGTAGTCCATGAAATAGAGGGACTGGTATAGCAGTAACAGAATTTTACTGCCATCAAATGGAGGACTGGTATAACTTGTGCTATCTAGTCATCATTCCCCTAGGTTTGTTGTGCAACTTATACTTGATCTTAATTTACTGAAAGTTATTGTCTCACATGTATATTGTCTTCTTACTCATTCTTGACCCTACCCCCCTCCCTGGGCCTTTTATGATTCACCCCTTGCTCTCACATCCAGCCATATCGACATCTGGAGAGAACAGTTTCAATTTATTTTGTTTGGGCAAATGTATCATTGTGTTTCAGGGAGGAAGGACATGAATGGATTGAGCAGGGGTCAGGAAGTGATTTGAAGTGATTTGGCTGCTCTCTGGGACAGATGTTACTCTTACATACTCACTATTATACCAAAATCAATTCAAGCTATTATATATTATTAATGAGTGTTATATAAGCAGGGCTTATTAGTTATTATTACAATAACTGGCTTACTTATATTTTGAATTGCTTACTTGGTATCAAGTTAAGTTTGTTATCATTGACAATGACTAAGTTGTTGGTCCTGTTCAAGACTGCACAATTCATGTTAACTGTTACAGTAATTCATGTTAAAAACTTTGTGCAGGTTGAAGCTCATTGAACCTGATCCTGTTACTATATATTAAGCAGAGCGAGCGAACAAGTTGGCAAGCTATACCTTCAAGTAACTTTGCGTTACCAGACTTCTTGGTCAAGGGAAAAAGTTGTAGAAATTTGCCCAAATAGGGTAGATGATGGGCAAGATGTTGCTTCAGAGCTCAAATGCCATTTCTACAACTTGTTCAATTTGACCAAGAGGTCTTGTAAGACATCCATGGCCTACAAGAAGTATAGGTCTGGATAGATACAGGGACACAAAAACAGAGGGCACACAAGTGACAGTGTGACATACAGAGCCAGTACAGTGGACAGGGACTATAGCATTACATACAGAGTACACTGACAGCTGATGAGTCTCATCTTAAATTCAACTACTGTCACTACAAAATACTGTCCTGACTAAACCATTAAACTACGTATACTGCAACAGTACTACGTATACCATGCCTATTAATACTACTGGTATATATACTAGGACTGGTTGTTCTACAACACCTATCAAGCTATATGACACTACATAAATGATAATAATTATCATTCAGTTGGTGTGTCTAAGCAGACAGTAGCTGACTGGCCAAATTCCAACTTTGTTGAATCTCTGTTTTTTTCCATGGTTCTTTTTTTTTCTGCAACAATTGGCCTGCAAGTGATCCTTACATGTATGACCATGCAAATCAAGACTTTAGTGGTAGTCATGTGCAGGTTTTACATGTACCAATTTGGACTGTTTCCTGCATTGTGGTATATTAGTATAAAAGAAGACAAATTTTCCTTTAACCGTTCCAGGAATTTCTGGTCTTATCCAACGGACACAGACGTAGCTAACATGAAAACAGAGTCAATCCCAACGTTGGAACTTGGTCAGTCCAAAGCTATATTATATAATATTTACTTAGTGATCTTGTCCGTAGTCTGGATTCCGGCCTTCCGGGCTCAAATACGTAGTTTTCCAGCTGTACGCGGGTGACAACCTCCGGACGCCCTCCCCCAGCTGCAAGGCAAAGCCAGAGCATGCATTGCTACAGCTGCATACAACTACTTACATGTGCTAACCCTGCCCCAATTCTCACCACAATCCTCCACTCTAAAGATGCAACATGTGAAAGTAAAGCTTATTTGGTTCTTACCTACACCTGCATGCATATAATTTAGGTACTAGTACCCAATTACCACTGAAGCGTCACATGTGAATTTTGAAAGGTTGATACGTTTTTTGTGTAGACACCTCACAATTGAGAATACCGGTACATACAAAAAGATTTGGGTATGTATGATTACTAGAAACTTCTGAAAAATTCTTTTCATCTCATAAGTCTGTAGATATATGCTAGGTACAGTATCCAGTATCATTTCTGACCATACCTACTTTAAATTTGAAATGTTAAAAGTCAACTTTGTAACAGGTGCTACTGGATGACCAAGCTGCCCTACTTTCATACATGATGCATCTAAAAGGTAGCCTGGGTACCATCCGGATTTTCGCTACGCAACGCTTGAAAAAATTTCGTTTTCGAGCGTTGCATAGCGAAAATTTGGATGGTACCCAGGCTATCTAAAAGGTTTAAATTTCTAACTCAAACAAAGTCTCCACTACTTTCTTTCCACAGGCAAATGATGACTATGATTTCATCTCTCTGTCTAAGCTACAAAAACCATGCCGATAACACAGAAACATGTATATCATTACATATAGGCACATAAATGACACACATAAAACAATGATTTGATCTGCAGCTTGCATCATGGATCATTTGCGCATTTTGAACATTATTGTCAACATGAAATCAATATTATAACAATTGGATGATAGGTGTAAAATTATCAACTTTATTTATGGAGTTATAACATGTAGCTGTTGACATTTTAATATGATGATTGAAATTTATCCTTAAGCAACAATCAGATGCCAACCAAGAGTCTTTCTCAAAGTTCTATCACGATTGGATTTGCGGCTTATATATACAATAACTGTTGCAGAATAGGCAAGGGCAGGGTAAGGGAACATAGGGGTATACAGGGATTGAAACAGACTTATATTTCTTCCTATAATTGAATAAAAACATCACTAATGCTAGCTTCTAGCTATAGTTACCCAATTGCAACCTTTGCTATTAACCATCCATGTACCAGGCCCGATTAGAAGTAGGTTTTAAAATCGGTCCATGGCACTGGGAGGGTTAAAAGGTTACTGGCCATTTAGTGCTGTACAAACAATTATATACTGATCTTAGAGCTATAATTAGAGGGGTAACTATCATCTATACAGTATTGGCTTATGGAAAGAAGCTAGTTTTAGAGACATTAAAAAATTTCAACATTTTGCATGGAAGAGTTTAGTAATTATAACATATTCATTATGATTTTAAGAAAACTTGGATTAGCAGAAGGGGACCCATCCACCAGCTAGATTAAGCCGTCACCTTAGAATCACCCCCGAACAAAATATCATTCCAAACAATTTATTACGATTAAACTTCATTTATCATTTTTGAATATCATAAAAACAACAAACATTTGAGATGTAACATAGTTATCTTAAAGTTTAAAATACCCAAACATTGAACTAGGATTCTAACATCAAAATGTTCAACTTTGTCTCTGATCAGTTGGTTTCCGTCACTGGCTGCAGATATTGCCTTTGCAAATCCTGAAATCAACTTTGGAATTAGACTACACTATAAACAATGATATCATCCTGAAGAGAACAACAAAGATGCATTTTTGGGAGTTGATTTGTTTTTACTTTCAACCATTGACCTTCATTTGCACTGGATAGAAAATGGAAAAGAAGACAAGTTTGTTAAAGTTATTTACAGGAAAGAGAATATTCTTCCATCTGGCAACAATACTGTTCCTAATTATACTTTGAATGAATCACTTGACTAATAGTAAGTCCTTTTTCCCAACATCGCAATTGTATGCAAATTAAGGTCAAGAGTTGGAATGGACCAAACAGAGATTGCGAATGATGTTAAGATGGGTAGTTAACGATGAATTGAGGAGCATGGGTGCATGTAAGATGACCATAGGGATTTACATGACAAAGTATAACTTGGTTTGGTAGAGGACTTAGAAACTTTCAATGTTGATGAATGAGTTACATTGTATAAGGTTGATCTAGAGAATTCAAATTCATGACAACGTCGTGACCTCCTCATGAAGGTGGCAAGAATGGCACTTCCTATACTACTTGTCAACAGTAGCTACATCTACATGGAACATTCCTTTAGAAGGGTAAACAGGGGTGTCCTTGAGGAAAGATGACACAAAATGGTACATCCTAAACTGCAGAGGGAGCCATTAGTTCATTTAAAGGGATATTAGCATTCAAAGAGCGACAGCCAAGATGCTACTGCACTTTCACAAAACATCAAGAAAGGCAAAAGTTAGTATTTCCTCAAAAGAAAATGTATTTACAGAATGTATGCGCTCTCCTGCGGCTTGCCTGTGGTGACAGCCTAAAATCAGGCATGCGGAGTTTCAGGGGGGAGGGGAAGCTGATGCCTATGGAAGAAAGTACACACACGGCGTTAAAACAGTCAGTCACAATGTCATTATCACCTCCAGCTCAGCTCCAACTGCAAGCTACAGCCCTATAGGTTATCATGGTTACCATGTCAAAGGTCAAGGTCCTTTACACCACAGATGGGCAGCGCTACGTTCTCTACTTGCGATGCCAAGTCCACTGACACTTGTCTTGGATTACTCGCCAAATAACATCACAGATCCATTAGCCCATCATCAATCAGGCTCAGTAAGTCTCTTTTTACTGCAAGCTAGGGCTTGACTTCCAACTGATGATTAATGTACTTGGTACCCTAGCTTTTCGCTACTTTTCTCCTGTATTGTCAAGAAAAGCTACGCAGAGCCAAACATGAGATACAAGAGCTTCTTTTTCTTCAGCTATATCAGCACGCTTGCCTTTGCTGGTTAACTGCACGGTATACTTACGCTTTTTGTTGGAGGGGCTTTTGGGTGAGGTTTTGTCGGGTTTGTCCTGCGGTGTGGTCGGACGGCCGTACACTTGCTTGATCTCCATCTTGGGCGGCGCGGAAAGCTGCCTTCCTGCACGATACTGGGCCTACAGACATGGGGATTCACAGTGAGATCTGAGAAGTCTTTCACAGGAATACATCCCTGTTCCCTGTTGTACTGCCATAGTTCAGATGGCAAAGCTGCACACAAAGCCAAAGAGAAATTAAAACAAAGCAACTACAAAAGCACAGGAAGAGTCTTCACATTCAGAACCACTCAACTATAAAGGACAGGAGTGTCTAGTCAAAAAGTAAAAGAAGGATTCATTTACTAAAGGGTTAACTTTTAACTAAGAGAAAACAAAGCAAGAATAGCACAGAAGCGACTAAATAAAATGGTACCACCCGTTTTACAGAAAATGTTTTACAGCACTGACCATGTCCCCTGCCACCTGTACAGAAGTGAGATAAAAAAAGAAAGACAGAATGTGTACACATGCATTAGGCAAAGGACATGAAACGTCAAAGAAATGTGTACACAACTCATGCATTAAACAAAAGACATATAAAACACAGAGAACTTAAGCAAAGAAATAGTTTTCTTTGGCACATTGTACTCTAAGTGACAGGTAGCATTTATCTTCATGCAAACAGCAATATAAAAATCACCATACAGGTTTCTTTATATTCCAAAAAAAAGACAATTTTCATTTTATTCTTGGTACTATAAGCGAGAAATTTGGTTGTACAGGAGAGGTACATGTATACTTACTAGCTTTCTTTGCACAGGTTGGATGCTTATGCTACTTTACTTTGTAAGAATTTTTTGTGTGAAAAAGACCTTGACAGCTGTGCAGCATATGAATGACTCTGCCTTTTCTCTCTTTTTACAAAGAACTTAGAACATCAACATTACAACAAGGCGCTGCCAAGAATAGATCCTCTTAATACAAAAATTATTATACTGGTAATACTAATAACAGAGTAAGACAAAGCTAGAAATTATAAAAGCAGCAGTAGCTACATTGTAGCAAACAAATATGTCAGTGTTTGAAATACCCCTCTGCAGTCTGTATTTTGAAGAGACACTTTAAGTATTACCAAAGAAAAATGAAGCAACCTGCAATTTTGCAGACTGGAAAAATCAGACCAAGGGTTCAATGGTGCTTTTGTGTTTACTACTGACTGTAGTTCTGCATGTATTTTTCAAATTGCATGTACAAATGTAAAATGTTTGCCAACATCCAATTTTGTTTATGCCATGGGTTTAGATCCGGACTGCATATTTGCAGAAAGTATTTCCGAATTGCGGAACAAAATTTTGCCATTATGCAGAACACTGAAAAAAATATTTCTACCACAGTGCTGAATTGTGGTATTGCCCCTAAAAATCATGAAAATCCTGAGTTGAGATTATAGGAACTTGAGATGCGATGTTGTACTGACCCTCCTGGCCTCCACTGACATGACCTGGTCGCGGGGTGGCATCAGGCTGGCCACCTCCCCGTCCGGAGACAGACTGGACTCTCGCCCCTCCTCAAGGTACGGCATGGCAAAGGCACTCAGGTCCTGCAGGGGGAGGGAACAGGTCAAGACTTAAAGGTACGAAAATGGTGGAGAAAAAGGATAAAGGCATAATAAACAGGTGCTACAGAAACAAGAAAACATCTCTTCATCTTCATCTGGGATATCCGGGGAGGTGCGGGGACCTTATGGAAGCCTGCACTACTACACACACACGTGTGCAAGACACATCACGTTCATGGCATGGCACGTTCATGGCATGGCACGTTCATGGCACGGCACGTTCATGGCACGGCACGTTCATGGCACGGCACGTTCATGGCACGGCACGTTCATGGCACGGCACGTTCATGGCATGGCACGTTCATGGCATGGCATTTTAGACACTCAGGTCCTGTAGATGGAAGGAAGTGTTCAACTTCAAGACTTAACTGGGAAAAGTCTTGCCCTGGCAATAGCAACAACCATGAAGCCATATAGATTCATTCAATATGCCTGCTGTGTTTTGCCTCCTGGGCTTTTGAGATATGGTAGATCATGAGTAGCAGACTGAGCTCTAGTTCATAGTAGCCAAATTTATTGGGGGGCATATCAAGGCATGGTATACAGGTGCTACAGTCAGTATAGAAACAAGTTAGAAAAGTTTTCAAGACTCAAGACAATTCAAGAAATGGGAAAGTAAACACATTTTAATCAAGCCTAGGGCAGGGCAAAGGCACTGAGGGCTCAAGGAAGGCAACATTTTGAGATTAATGGAGTTTTACAAGGGGGAGGGGACATACCAAGGTATTGGCAAATATATTATGACCTTGGGCAGGGCAGACAGACCTTGAGACTTTAAAGAGAAGCCATTTACATGGGGAGGGCACATTTCATGGTAATTTGGCAAAGGCCCTCCCCCACAGGTCATGGTAATGCAATGGCAAAGGCTCTCTGGTCACAGAGGATTTAAATCCTACTACCATGACATTGATAAACACTACTGGGGGCTAAGTTTGTCTGAACATAAAATTATGGTTATAGCCAGAAATCTCAAGGCATCATGTATACAGGCAACTTCCTTGAGATGCAAGGTGGGGAGGTAAAGGATTGTACGTAATTCACTTAATAATAATATCTGAATAAAATTAACGTTTTCACTGCACTTTTCCATTGCTGACAATGCCTGACCCAGAAATGGGTTGAGTTCAATGACCTGGAACAAAGAGACTTCACCACAAAAAAACTGTCAAGAACTTCTAAATCTTACATCAGATTCTTCTACTGAAACTTACAGGACGTTATGTCAGCCATGCTAGACTTAAAGACTTCCATGTGACACAAGAGTTGGTGATGATTAGCTTTAAGATGTCTAAACTTGGCAGCATGGTCACAAGGCCACGAGGCAACACCCACTCTGATAAGACACACATGCAGAAGGCGTATCTTAGGTAAGTTCAGCAAATACCCATTCAGACTTGTCACACAGAACAAACACTTCTAAAAATCTACAAGAAAGCAAACCAAGTGAACTTGTGGCTTCTTCTGGGCAGACATCCTTCCTTTCTTGTCTTTCTCCTCTACTGTGACTGTCACACAAGTAAAAAGCCAATGCTGCCCTGGGAGTTAGGACTTGCGCGGCTGGTATAAAGACGTGGTTCAACTTAAGTTCAAAGTGTAAAGGTAAGATGCCCAGGGCTAAACAAATAGTCAACACTGGCTGCAAGAAAGGCCAATAACAAGGCTATTGGGTGCAGGTCACTTGTGATTGCTTTGGAACCACATGTTACCACCTGTTGGCACTCAAGGGGCAATGCTTTAGCTTGTGTCCTACTTGAAGGCACATCTAGTACACACGTATGTAGTGTTATATACTACAATTCTAAGTGGCTACTTGTCTATCTACTTGCCAACTTCTTAGGTACAAGTTGTACTTTTGTACAACCTTATTCTAAAACCGGCAGTAGCTACTTCTTCTGAATAGCTTATAGTGTATCACTTGATTTATGTAATAACAATATTGGGATGATTTAGATTTTGAAGGGTCAGAATGGCCAACTGGAAACATTCCTGGTATAACTTAAGTAATGACAATTGTTCAAGCCAACAAATGTATACAGTGGTCAAGACTAGTACAGTCTATGGTAATACCTTAGAACAAGTGTACCATACTTGTTTTGGCGGCAAAATTTTTTTTGACGGTCATAACTTTTATACCTTGAAAGTTGAGTCCACTATTTATTTTCTAAAAAGTAACAATAGATGCATAACAAAAAGTTTGGACACTATGCTAAACTTTTTGAAGTTCTCACTGATTCTTTTAATTAACTTGTGGTATCAAATAACAAAGGTTGTTAGCCCAATGTTACAGGTGTCACGGCTTAATCAAATTAACCTTTGGCCTGTCAGGGACACTGCATATAGAACCCTTCCAGAAAAACAATTATTCCAGACTTGTCAGGTGCAAACTACCTGACATCTCAGCAAATACATGCACTGACATTTGGAGGACAACAGTTAAGAATAGATCTTGGTTTTCCATTAAAATTAAACCAGTATGACTGTATGTACCAAATCTATCTACATTGTAATACATTTTACCTGTTTGTCTATGAAGTTGTTGTTGTCAGTATTGGTGGTGAGAGGACATCTTGCATTTTATGGTCTCTAGGAAACACAAATGATCAGTGCTTCAATCTAAATAGATGAAAAAGTTGTTTTCTTTGCGGCATCTTGTGTCAGGGTCTGGCAATAGAGGTTTTTGCAATCTTGTCAAACAAAAACTGACATATATAATTATATATAATATAGTTTGTTTTTCTGTTTGTTCAATAGTTGTACCATGTGCAATTGTCGTGCAATAACGTTTTTCATATGAAACTAGTACCTAGTACTGAGAAGTACTATAACAAAACTGTAAGCTTTCAAACATCCCCATTGCACTATGGTGGGTATGTCAAAGGTGAATATGATATCACTATTATAATGTCTTTTTCTTCTACCTGAAAAAATACTCAGTTTAATAATAGAATA